CTTTACTTATATATATATATATATATATATATATATATATATATAAATATAGTCTTATTTACATTTTATCCAAAAGTCTATTATTCTGCGATTCTTTTAAAGCAAAATTAGTGAAATTTGTAATTGGTCCATTTGACAAAGTTTATTTTCTTGGTTTCTAAGCAAAACAATATTGTGACCATTATTTTCCATACAAAATATCATTTGAAAAATATCTCATAATTGAATTGACAACAATCAGACAGTTTGGACCTATAGGTCAAGCCAATCCGAGTCTAGTAAAAGCCAACTAGGACAACCAAGTTCAACAAGAAGAAGAATATGCATGATATATTTACCTCATAAGAAAAGGTAATTCAAGACAGTGTTCCATAAAGCGGACTGCCCAGCGCCTGGGCGGATTTGGGCGCCTAGGCGCCCTAAAAAAGCAGCCATCCCTGGGCGCTCAGGAAACCGCCTAGTGCTCAGACTTGGGCGGCGGCCCAGGGACTGCGCCCCGCCCAGAGGTGGAAAACAGTTTTGAATGGGGCATTTTTTGTTTTTTTTTATACTAAAGAGCAAAAATGGATGTTTTAGGTCCATTTGAAACCTACAATGTATTGGAATCCAATTTAGAGAGAGAAAGCCCCCAAAATACTAGTTTTTTGGTGATTTCTTTAGGATCGACGGGTTTATCAAAGTTATGAGAATTTGATCAAAACATCACCCATTGATATTAGATTTAATTTTTGATGTTTTATAAATCTATTGGGGGGTTTTTAGAAGATTTTGAGTCCTTAGAAGCATCTTTGAGGTGGAAGTTTGGAGATTGAGCAATCAAACTCAAAGTAAGTGATTTTTTTTTATTGCTTGTATAAATTGCATTATTTTGAGATGCCTTCTTCGAGATCTACTAAGAGTCGTGATCCCGATTGGAAATATGGCTACAATTCAGATACTAATGATAAAAATTGCATAAGATGCAAGTTTTGTGAGAAGGATATAAAAGGGGACATAAACCGGTTCAAGAAACATCTTGCCGGTCTCAGGGGGATGTTGCCCCATGTAAATAGACTCCTGATGCTGTTAAAGAGGAAATAATCAATTTTTTGAATATGGTAAAAATGAAAAAAGATGAGAGATTTGCCTCCATAGCAAAGATTAGGTCTGGGGTTCGGGTCAATTATGATGATGATGATAGTGATGAGGATGGGATTGGGGAGCGATGTCAAGAGGTAGAACAATCCATTATTAGGGGAAAGGGAAAGGGAGTTGTAATTGCTTTTGGTTCTGGTTCTGAGAATACGAAGCCTCGGGTTAGAGGCCCTATGGATAGTTTTTTGCCTCGGCCTGACCCTGAGGTTGCAGGAGAGAAAACAAAGAAGCAAACCACCATTGAAAATAGAATGAAGAAGGAAGAGATAGATAAAGTTGCTTATTATCTTGCTACATAGTTTTATGAGGCGGGCATTTCTTTCAATACGGCTCGCTTAAGCAGCTTCTATGCCGCGGTAGAGGCAATTGGCCAATTTGGACCTGGATGAAACCCCCAACCTCATATGAGCTTTCATAACCTCTTTTAAAAAAGGCAGTGAGTGTCATGAAGGAAGCTAGATGCATGGGCTCAATAAGGGGTTTCTATTATGACTGATGCTTGGAGTGATAAGAAGAGAAGAAGTCCGATGAATTTGCTTATGAATTGTCCTTTAGGGACTGTTTTTTTTAGGTCTATTGATGCCTCTGATCATATCTATGATGCCCATTACATATTCCAAGTTATAGAGAAAGGAATCACGGAGGTTGGGGAGCATCTTGCTGTACAGATCATCGCAGATAATGCTGCTCCTAATGTTGCTGCAACTATTTGTTGCACATAGCTTATCCTAAAATCTTTTGGACACTATGTGAAGCACATTGTATAGACCTCATGCTTGAGGCTCTTAGCGGTTTAACCGAGTTATCAGATGCAATGAAGAAGGCAAAGTCAGTTACAAATTTCATTTATGGCCACCATCTCACCCTCAGCATGATGTGTAGATTTACAAAGAAGAAAGAGATTGTGAGGCTTGGGGTCACGAGATTTGCAACCTGTTACTTATGCCTAGATAGCATACATTCGAACAAAGTGTAGTTGAGGATGACTGGAGAGCATGCTAGTGGTCCAAGGATCAGGTTGGGAAGAAGGCGAAAGATATTATCGTTTCTAAGGCTTTTTGGCGAGAGGTGAAGGGCGCTCTTAAGGTATTTTTTCCTCTCGTTAAAGTCCTTCTATGGGCTATATATATGAGACTATGGAAAAGTGTAAAAGAGAGATAGCCCAAAATTTTGATAATGATGAGAACTGCTATAAGCCTGTTGGGAGATTATTGATGAGAAGTGGGATAGGCAGCTCCATCGGCTATTGCATGCAGCTGGTTATTATTTGAATCCAGCTTTTTTTTTATGTTGACAAGGGTATACACACAAATGACACAATTATGATTGGATTTAATAAGTGAGTAGATGTGCTAGTCCCTGATCTTGATATCCAGGATATTATATGAGTTGATGAATTGATAAATTACAAGTAGTCATTAAAGTCTTTTGGGAGTCCAAAGGCGATGAGGCAAAGGAAAAATTGATCCAGGTAGTAACAATATTCTCAACTTTATCAAGTTCAAGTTCATTTTTATAATTATATTATTTATTTATGATTTTATTATTTATTTATAATTTTATTCTATATCTTTGCAACAAATTGGTGGAGCCAACATGGGTGTAGTTCTCCAAAGTTATAAAAGTTGGCCATTCGGATCTTAAACTTAACCACTTCCTCATCCGGTTGTGAGCGCAATTGGAGTACTTTGAAGGGGTAAGGTCGTAAGGGTAATTTGTATAATTATATTAATAATAAATGAACCATAGATTTTAATTAGTTTCATTTGATTTTTGTTAGATTCATACAAAGAGGAACATGCTTGAATCAAAGAGGCTCAATGACCTAGTTTATGTCAAGTATAATCGATTCTTGAAGGTCAGGTTTGCTAAGAGAGATAAGAGAGACCCCATCAGATAAAAAAGGACAATGCTATGGAGTGGTTAGTTGATGATGATGAGGTCGAGGGGCATGAAGGATTGACATGGGACATGGTCATGGATGCTTCAGGGATATCAGCTGACCCTTCCTAGGGCCACTAGATCTTCTACACAGAGAATGAGGGTGGAGGAGGAATATGAAGAAGAAGAGGCAAATTCAGAAGAGACAGTGGAGGACGACCAATATGTCGAGGGTGGCGATTCCGATGAAGATGATGCCAATGCAACTGACCTTAATTTTTCTGATGATGAATGATGAATGTTGAATAATTATTAAACTTTGAACTTTGATTGAACTATGAATGGTAAATTTTAAGTTTTAATTGGATCTAGATTATGGACGGACTTATTGTTATGCTTATAGAGTGTGCGCTAATGTGTAGTATAATTTCAATTTTGATGTGCCCTAAATACCTAATTCTTATATTTTAGAAAATATATAACTGTCAAATCCTTTTTGGATTCAAGTAGGCCTGGGCGCCTGCCTAGGCGCTGGGCGGCTTGGACCCCCAATGCCTCCTAGGACCCGCCTAGCGCTTTTTGAAACTATGATTCAAGATCTTCATAGACGCCAGATGTTATCAGAAAAACTTTCCAAGCACCTAGTTAAGCTTATTTTGAACATATGGACAACTTCATCAACAAACAATATTGCAGAAAAACAAGGGGTCAACTATAGCCATTCAGCCTCATATATCAATCGTAATCTTTGAAAATCAACAAGACTATAAAATCATTGCATAACTCTCAAGGCCTAACAAATTAGAGACCAAAGGACATAGAGGGCTTTTGAAAATGTTGAAGGAAGTGATGTGATGGGATAAGGGTTCAGGACATCAGATAAGCCAAATATGGTCTTTTGGTTTGGAAAGAGATCAAAGTTTTAGGCTTAGAATTAATGCTAATTAGTAGAGTTAGATTTTCAGGATGATGTTCAGCATAGAGAATTCACGGGCCTCATGAGGTTTTAATCCAAAGGTTCATGTCTTATGCCACCAGGGATTAAAGTATCATGGTTTCCTTGCTTTTGAAGGAATTTGAGGGATGGTGAGTTCGAAGAGTTATGTCATCCTTTGGGTAGATTAGAGGGTGCTTTATTTCCATGTTTTGAGGCCAAAAGAAGGGTCCAAATTGGGATAGTCTTTTTGTTGACTTCCTTTTGCTCTGCATGGATACTTAGCCCTTGGGTGACTAGCAATCCACAATAATATGTTGATTGTTGATCATCTTCAGCACTGAAGCCTTAGCACTTTATCACATTCTCATATTTTGGGAGGACTACGAAAGAGTTGGGCTAATTCATTACTTTTCCTGGTTCCTAGAAAGATTTTTCTTTTAGAAATTTCTGAGGGATTTGGAGAGACCAATACAAAAGGTTTTTACACAAACAAGTAACCATGCCATGGTGCTTAGAGAGAGGATCATGACATGATGATTTTTCTAGGAGCTTTCAAGGAGAGAATTCCAGAATTTTAGGACACGGATTAGTTTCTGAATGGAGGAAACTAAACTACACGTCCAAGACATTTGATGAGGTGGAGTAGGAGATGATAGAGTAAGTGAAGCTCAATTTCCTTGAAATCAGATTAGCTAACTATAATTTACTTGGGTCTGAGGCCTACTCAGAGAAGTTAAAGATCATCAATTTACAAGCTTGGCATTTGCAGCTCTAGACCCAATAAGAGTTATTTTATCACTGTCAAGAATGTTTGTTAATAACCATTTGGCCAGTTCCTAGGTGATACTATTCATTCTTCATGCCACTCCTTTCACTTTGGAGGCTCAAAAACATGTTGAAGGAATGATAATTACTGATAAGTCGGATGTTTGTTCATGTTCTTAGGGAGCCAAACATATAAACTGGCTACATACCCCAAGAGGGTTTAACGGAGATGAGCTATCCTTAATGAATTATATTTTTTCATTCTGACACTGTTATTTGCACTCTCTTTGGTTATTTATACACATTTTTTCGTACAATATGCCATATATAAGATGCAATTGCTATCAATGAGTGGAAGGCTTTAGTAATTCATAGAAAATAAGATCAGTGACCACCAACCAGAGTTTAAAAACTCAAAATTGCTGGCCAACTTGTTCACTACCAAAACCAACTCAACTGGCCGAGTCAAAGAGAGTTAGCTTGGAAACACTCAGTTATTTTTTCGATTTTTTGTTGAACTGTGAAGGATTCAAGAAAACCAATTGTTTGTAACAGGAATGGAACTCAACTCATAGACTTGAGTCATATCACCTAGCTATAAATGGATAAGGACCACATACTTTATAAATCAACATAGATAAGTATATATAAGTGAAACTCAGAACATCCAAGTTTTAACTTCATGAAACTTGCTCGCTGAGCTAGTCAAGTTGACTCAGGCAAATATTCCCAACTTGCTATGAGGTTTTTTCTACACTGCAAGCAACAAAACAAAAGGTCTAATACTCCAATAGTTCTTTAAGTCCTGCTACCGATACACACATGAAGTACATGTACTTCTCCTGAATAAAAAATACTGCTAAAACATGGCCGATTCTTTAAATGCAATGATTTGACAATAAATTTCCATAGTAGAGCACCCTTACCTCATTGAGAATTGGATTATAAACCACACCAACAGTAGGAACCTTGCCAATTGTAAGGCCCATGGATACACAAACAAATGGGTAACTACAAAACACTCATATTCGTTAATGTCACAATAGCAGAGCACCAAGACAGAATAGTTAAATTAAATTAAATTACCCATGGACAAAATTGGTGGTTCCATCAAGGGGGTCGACTATCCAGGTAGGCTCATCAGTAAGTGGTGCAGTGGCACCACAAGCTGCTGAAGTTTCTTCTCCAATAAACTGAAACCAGAGAATGATGTGTGTGTGTGTGTGTGTGAGAGAGAGAGAAAGAGAGAGAGAGAGAGAGAGAGAGAGAGAGAGGAGGGAGGGTAGG